TCCAAAGGTTAAATCCAGTTATAGTGCAATATTTTATGAATTTGACGACATCTTCCAAAGGATCAGAATAAGGTCATATGAATATCAAGACAAATTGACGATTAGAACAAATCTTTTACCCTTTACGAAGCAAAATGCTCCGGTTGATCTAATACATGCCATATACAAATGCGAGATGGAATATTATAGGTGTAATGGTTTCACCATTTTTGCCACTGATGCCTCGGTTGGACATGAGACCACAGGGTGTGGTGTATACAATGTGTCCAATAAGGACAAATTTCTCTTTAAGTTGGACATTAAGTCCTCGTCCATGTTCGGCGAACTTTATGCTATCAAAAAGGCGCTTGAAATTGCGGAGGAGGATGGTTACGGCAATCTAGTCATCTTTACAGACAGCCTTGCGGCCTGTAAGGCTCTAGGCTCTGGAGGCTCTGACAATTTTTTGGTTGCTGAATGTCACAATTTGTTGAGGAGAGCAAATGTGTACAGATGTCATGTGGTTTGGACTCCGAGTCATAAAGGCATACCGTTTAATGAAGTTGTTGACTTTTTGGCGAAGCAAGCGGTGGATGCAGGTGCACCAATTGCAACGTTTCTGACCCCGAAGGAAGCGATAAGACAAATAGAAAGGAGAGTAAAGGACATGTGGAATGAAGATTTTAAGATAATTTCCATGACGAAAGGCAGATTCTTTTTCCAACTCTGCCCTGATGTGTATAGCAAACCATGGTATTGCAAGATCAATTTAAGCCCGGAGGACACAAAATTAATAAACAGGCTCATGACAGGACACTCATACTGCAAGGTCGATCTTCATCGCATAGGTGCCAGTGATTCCTGGCAATGCGATATATGCGGTGTTCCTGAAGATGTGGAGCACAGCATTTTTACTTGCCCTAGACATAATCAATTAAGAACCACTTATCCCAACCTTTTTTCCCATCACAACAACCTGATGACAATCCTGAAATCCACTGAGGAAGAGCTTTTCAAGTTATTAATTCGCTTCATCAAAGAGGCGAAAATTCATCTGTGATCCTGATCCTGATCCCTATCCCATCCCAACCTGTGATACAATCTGTGATATTAGTTTAAGTTTGAACCGTTTTTTTTTGGATCAATAACTAATTTTTGACGTTTTTTCCCACTCCCCCTTTTTGCCCCCTTTTTTCTATTTATTTCCATCTTCAGCAGCCTTGAAAGCGCGTAGAGGACTTGGAGAATCAATCGCTTGTGACCTGGAAGCTTTTTTAGTTCCGGAAAATCTTTTGCTGCGGTTTGCAGTTTTCGTCACTACATACACCTTATGCACTTGGACGTCTCTCAACCGGGAGGTCGTAAGTCGGATTAAGATGATTTAATTTAAATCTTTGTCTACTCTGTTACAAGATTTGTTTGTATTAATGTACTATGTACTATCGTTTTTGTTTGTTTTTTATCAGCTGATTAATTCAGCATTCGATGCGAGTCTACATTTGGACTGTGGACTACTACTAATCTTTTGAATGAGAAGCCTTTTGTACCTGGGTACGATCGTTTTTGGATAATATCTGTTTGGAAGAAAACCTGGCCTCGTGCATTCACGGATCGCCAATTCCTGCGGCCTTAAGGAACTGAGGACCGCACATACACACACACACACACACACAAAACTGTCTGATGACCTCAATTCAAATTGACCTCCTGTAAAAGATGTCGGTGGTTGGAAAAAGTAATGTATTATATTTTTTATATATAAATGTGAAACTATGTGTGCATATTTACAGGTTGGTGTTGATAACCACCTTGTCCAAGCAATTTCAAAGCAGCGGCCTCTTTTATTGGGATTGGAATTGTTGTGGATCTATTTGGAAAGACGAGCGTTTAATAAATACATAAACGAATCTTTATTGAGACGAACATTTTGTATAAATCTATAAAAATTAAATATTTGAAAATGTTTGTCACATAATTCGTACTTCTATTTTAATACCCGTGGTCACTTAGGGAGAGTATATTTGATCGATCTCATAAATTTCTGTTTTTGTTTTTAATTCGTTCATTATTTTTGTTTAAAAAAACACTCGTACCACACAAAAAAATGTTTTCATTTAAAATTTTTTGACGTTTCCTTTTGTCATTCTTCGTTACTGTTTACTTTGTGGCGACAGTGTTGCCCTATTTTTGATTTAGTTTGCGAATGCGTTTGCGTGAGCGTTACAGAGTACCAAATTGTACTCTTAACGCATTTAGCTTTCGCATCGCACTTGCTTTCGCAACGCAATACAGAGTAACCCCCCTGAATGCGGAATTTCTAAAACCATCTAGCCAGAATTCGCTCGCCGTAGAAATTCTTCGCTGTTGTCTCATAGTAAGAGAGAAAAAGAGATAAAAATGGTTGTGGGATCATAACAGCTCACTGCAGGATTAGATCTCTCATGAAAGTGGCCACCATTGCCGGTTACGTTCTACCTGCTATGATTTACTGGCCCACAAACCACACCAAACGTTTTGTTATTTTTTCTGTTTTTTTTTTTCAATTGAACATATACTTACTCTGTAGATGTCCATTGCTAAGTAACAGAATACTCAGACAGTTTGGTAAATATGAAATTCATAATCAATTAGCTTGTTAAAATTCTGACTTGGCTAAAATAACCAAATTTCTACACTCTTTATACTTCCTCTATCCCCTCTTTTTCCCACTTTACTTTATACATTTCTTTTCAGGTACCCAGGAATGAACAGCCTTAACCTTTGACCTAACCTAAGCTATTCGACAAATATTTCGAGGTGTTGCAAGCTGAATGACAAATTTAATAAACACTCAAGTTTATGTTGGATGGAAAATAAAACCCCATGCATGTCCATTTCTTGAAAATAATCGATTCCTTATACATGTAAGTTCATTAGTCCCATGAGATATTTGCGTATGTGCCTGCCTTAATTCGATCCATATATTTTTGGACATCCACTCCATTTAACCATAAATATTAAATAAAAAACAGCTCTTTGGTTTAAAATGGCTTACATATTTCTCATTTTGTTATAATAAGCTTTGCTTTATTTATATCGGTTTATATGATGTGTTAATGTTGTTCATTTTATTTTATTTTGTGTGTGTGTGTGTGTGTGTTTTTATTATATGAATATATAATATTATATTTGAAATTATTATTTAATTAAAAAGTTCTAAATTACAGTACATAACACATACAAATAATTGTTTAAAATACTATTTTTTATTTTGAACATAGTGACGATTCGTAGAACAGAACGCTTATTTATTTCATTTTTCGTTATTGTTTGTTGTTAATATTAGTAGTATTACTATTTGTTGTATTTTGTATCTGTATTCTTTTGGTGTATTATATATATGTGTATGTATATATAGCACACTGCTTATGAAATAAACAATATAAATTATACTAGAAATCTATGCTAGAATCTACATTACAGCTACAATCTTTGTTTATTATTCTGTTTTTTTATTCTCCTTGTTTTACTTGCTATATTGTATTATGTTGTGGTTTTGTATTGTTATAATTAATAGCTTCATAATCTTAATGATACTTACTTACATAACGTTTTGTGAAAACAATAGTACAACGACAAGGATATCTTAGTAACTAGACCTAATCTTAATATGCAATTTACACTTAATACATACAAGTAGTCGAAGGTATTTTAACGCTACATACACAGTGGGCCATAATGTGAAATGGTGATCATAATACAATGTGATAATATGACAACAGAATTTTTCTTTTTCTTTTTTTTAAAGTAAACTACAACATATACTATTTGCTATTCGTCCGCACAAGGCCCAATGTTGGAATATATCATTTATTTTTTGTTTCACTTTTGGGTGATTTGTTATGTTCTTGGAAATTAGTTATATTTACAAATAGATTAAAGAAAAGATTTTGGAAAATAAGGAAGACAAAGATGACTACAATAAAATTACGAAATTAAATGGTAATGGATGTTAATACAATAATAAAAAAAATAACGTATATGTATTGTTGCAACAAATACGTCTTTGGATTTGAAAGAAAATTGCACCAAATAATGCCGTATGACATTAAACAAATTATTAGACAATAATTACGATATACAAAATGGCAGTAGACGACCGTTAATGTAACATTAAAATATTGAGTATTAAAAACAAATTTAATGGGAACAAGACGAATTTAATAAAGATTTAATGTGGCTTCTCTTCATATATGTGTGTGTATTCGATTCATTGTAATTCATTTTATGATATAAAGATAACATGTATACAATGTATCATGTAAACAAGTATCGATAAATTATAGAAGTCTAAGGGATTTGTCGAAAATTTCCACAATTTATAGCAATGATGCAGTTTGTTGGTGTGAGACTTGAGGGGAAATACCGTTCATCTCTCTCATCTACATGCGTAGAATTGTTTGATATTATCTGTGATATTCACATTACCTGTTTACTGGAAACAGGTCCCATCGAAATAGAAATGGACCAGCCTATTTCCTATGCAGGGTATGTACCCCATTGTTACAATGTAGTGTTTCGAAATTTCGATAATTTTGGAAAGTTCTCTTTAAATAAACAATTCTTATTTCTCTCATTACTGACAACGATCTGAGAACTATAATATTAAAAATTATGTTGTTCCATAAAATCGCAGATTGAATACCAAAATATGTAAAAAAAATAAACTTGACATTGAAATTCTCAAACTATAAATTCACGCTCATTGGAATTTGTTGACTTTATCTACTCATACTGCTCATTCAAGCTCAACTCAAATATCTACTTGTAAATCATATTTAAAACACAGACAAGAAAAAACGCAATAGTTAAGACAATAAAATCAATACATTGAAAGGAAATTACTTTCTTTGGGTTAGTATTTGATTTAACATTATATAACTTACTCATTACCTTCCCTATAGTCTATAGATGTTTTGTGTCTGCAATAATTATATACTTATGCTGAATACACATCATAAGGATTAGTATTTTTTTTAAATTTAATTGCGTTTCTTGGTAACGTTCTTTTTAACACCTGAATTAGAATCGACTTTTTTATTGCCTTTGGCAATAGCCAATAGCGTTACCAATTTCTTGTGAGAATCGCCTACAATCCAACCGTGCTTTTGATACTGTTCACCACCGCCGGCGCCACTGCTTGCTGCGGCGGCGGCGACGACACCAACGCCTCCGCCAACGCCACCTCCTCCTTCAGAATTCTCCGCAACAGGATTACCTTTGGTGGTGTTACTGATGCGTCCAAACTCCTCATCACTAGATGATGACCAGTAATAGAGTTTTTCAGTTGCGGGCCTTTTTCGTCGAGGAGGCGATTGATTTGTTTGATTCTTACGTTTGGTTTTTGATGTGGCCGATGCTGTTTGCTTTTGGCTTTTGGGTGTATCCGTTGGAGAGACATTGACACTATTCAAGGAGTTTCTTTTTCGAGTTGACTGAGCGGTAGGGGCGGCCGGCGTCTTGGACAATTTCACGTTAGCTGTCGATGTTACGGTGGGAGCTGCTATTTTGGCAGCTTTTGAGGATTTTGCCTTAACGTTGGCCTTTTTCTTTTTTATAAGATCCGCTATAATATAGTCGTCATCACCAAAGTCGCTATTATCGATATCATCTTCATCCTCATAGTTGTCATCATCGTCGATAGGTTTTTTGCTAACTTTCGACTTGGATTCTTTTTTAGACTTCGGAGTCTTTACCGTTTTCGCAGTTGATTGTTTTGCCTTCGATTTGCCCTTTGCGGGGGATCGCTTTTCTTTAACGTTATTTGTTGAGCCTGCTGTATTTATATCAGGCAGAGTAAACCCAGTTGTACTTACCGCATCCTCTTTTCCAGACTTTTTCGTCTTGCTGGATTTGGCTTCGACAACTGCAAGCACCTCGGGTATGGGTATATCAATATTCGCATTTACCTTTCTACTGTTTTTACGTTTAGGTTCTTTTGTGCTAGACGTAACATCGGGGGTATCTTTTTCTTTGGCCATTTCGCTGTTATTGGACGACATATTTATACTGTTTTTGCGCTTTTTGCGTTTCTCTTCCTGCTGTTCCTTTTCCTCTATTAAAGCTATTATATCTTTGGTTGACAGGAATTCTTCGTATTCATCGGAACTCCACATTTCAACTAATTTTTTTGGGCGATTCGTGGCACAGCGGCGTTTAGATTTACGCTGACCCTCATCTATTAATTTTTTAATTTCGTCCGGACTCATGCCAAGCTCCGTTTGAAGTTTAGAAATGTCTTTTGAGGTTTTTGCAGCAGCTTTTGGCTTTGCTCGAGACTCGCGAGCTTTAGTTTTGCGAACAGTTGTTGCTGGCGTTGCAGTAGTTGAACTTACAACTGCTGGTGGTGATGCTGCTGGTACTATATGCTTTGAGATATCACGTTGATGCTGTTTATGATTCGTACGACTGCTGGCTAGAGTTGTAGACGCCCTATCAATTGCTCCCGAGTTTGCAGCACCTCTTTCATTTAGATGTTGTTCTACTCCCGAGTTACCTCTCAGCTCGTCGAATAACTGGTTCAAATCCGCCTTTGGAGTGGGAGCTTGATCCTTCTGTACACCCACGCTTTTAACTTTGACGGCGGGAGTGACATTAGTTTTGACCGCAGCTTTTGTGCTGACATTCTTAAAGATTCTCCCCATAATAAGCGACTTGTTCTCAAAGGTCTTAGCTGTTGCCCGACTCGACTCGGAGCTGGAATCAGTGGAGTTATTTCTCGGATTTTTCTCATTACTTTCACGCACACTTGCTTCTTCGTCACAGCTTAGGGAGCCGAAATCGTAATCGTCTCTGTCCGAAAAGCTACCCGTAGACACACTATTGTTGTCCTCTGTAAGTAGGTGGACAGCGGGTGTTTTTGGTTTTTGGAACGTTATGGTTTCCTTTTCTTCAAGTCCAATATTTTTAAAGGGTCTGTCCGGTATTATAATCTTGCTACAAGTGGGTGTTTTCTGATGTTCCTCGACTGCCGCCTTTATAATTGAGGAATGCATAATTGTTTTGGATGATGTCGAACTACGAGTCTCATTATTTTTGGTTCGTTCAGTCCTCGATACCAATGGCACATTTGACTCCTTCGGATTATTCTCAGTTGCTAACATTGTGGCATAATCAGGTGCTGGTACGCTCTTTACACGAGTCGCGCCCTCCACAGCCGTCAGGTCAGGTTTGGTCGCACAGGGAGCATTTTGTGCGGACGGTCGGGTTGGTGTGTTACTACTCTGGATGGGTGAAAAACTATGTGTACTCGGCTTATCTTCATTTCCCAAAGCAATTTCCGCTAACTCTGTTAGTTTGCAGATTGTCCTAGACTTTGATTCTTGTTGCTGAATCAGGTCCATATTAACATTTTCGTATCCTTTCATTGCTGCCTTGGTTTTGAAACGAGAAGTGGTATTCGTAACCGCCGATAAGTGCGAAATGGCAGAATATGTAGGTGATCTGACATTTCTGCAATGGAACCAAAGTAAATGATATTGTTAATGTAAATGGTACAGTAGAAAAAATGACGAGTAGATTGTCAGAAATTAGAAAAATGCAAATTCATATTTTCCACAAATACAATTGACGTACACATATAGTATTTAGTAATTTCCCAAAACTACTATTCCAGAGAAAATAATGCACCAAATATCAATTATACTAAATTTAGTACATTTTATAACACATGTACACTTATATAACACATCTATTAATTTATATTAGCGATTTTCCTACCAAAGGACAAACTTCATTCGTTGAATACAATTCATTTCATTTATTTCATACAATGTAATATAAAAAAGCCAGCATGGCCAATAACTTATATTAACAGAATTAAGAGCATTTCGTATCCAGAAAATCAGACTACTTGTCTCAGCCCTAAAAAGCACCACGATTCACATACTTCATATTAAAATACGCACATACCCATCACTACATATTGTACTTAATTTAATTTAATTAAATTTCGTAAAACTTCAGGATGATTTTTCGAAGTGTCCTTTTTATATCAATCACAGCTACCATGTTTTGTTCGTTTCGGTTCAATTTTAATACAGTTATAGTGTGAATTTCCACAAATTATATTTATGTGGAATATAATATATTTTTAGTTATTGTTAATTGGTTTCCCTTTATATTTAAGTTCTTAGTGATTGATGTCCTTTTTATCCGCATCATGGTGGAATATGAGAAGGGAATAGAAAACCAGCTACAGAATCTACTCCAACAGCCAGTTTATTATAAAGTTGCACTACTCATTTAAATATACAATTATATTAGATTTTATAAGTTCAACATTCTTGCTAAAATCTACGTTAGAGAATTAAAATCAATACAAATTTTACTGAGTGGATGTCCCATAGAATAATTTGTGCGATGAAAATCTACATAGAATAGTTGATAATATCTACTAGATCGAAAAGGAACATTTATTCTAATAGATGAAATTAGGAAATCACAAGGTATATTACCATTTAATATGTTAGTACCATCATAGTGTTCAACATAATACGTCTACTTTTTAATGTAGGTAACCGAATTAATTTTAACCTGCTAGTGTAAGGCAACACAAATCACTATTCCAATGTAAACCTTTCAGTGCAAAAAGTAAGAATATATTGCACATTAAGGATCTCATGCAACAGAACCATATTCTAATATAGGTCTAACAAGAGACGTGTATAGTTGTTTTGTTATATAAGCATCCGAGAATTCTTTGGCCCACCGTTTTATAAAACTTAATACACCATATGTTTTATTTACCATAGAAATAATATGATTGGTAGTTTTACTTTGGATCCATTAAAATACCAAGATCCACGAATGTTTCAACTGTTGATATAACTGAACCGTAAATATTGTATTGCCTCATCAATGAAGAATTTCTAGAAAAACACATATGTTTACATATGTTCAAATTTAAATCCATACAATTTAATCTGCACCATTGAAAAAGGTTATTTAAATCATTTTGGAGTAAATTGGATTGGGTAATGAACAACTTGACATCATCTGCATACATTAACAATTTAGAATGTATTACAGAAGTTGGTAAATCATTTCTAAACAATAGAAAAAAAACCGACCCGAGGTGACTTCCTTGTGGAACACCTGAAGGTACGTTAATCGATTTTGAGAGACATCCTTCAAACAAAACTAGCTGTGATCTATTTTGTAAGTAAGATGATATCCATTTGACTAAGTTTATACTGAAACCCATATTATCTAATTTATATAATAAGAGTTCATGGTTAACCCTATCAAAAGCTTTACTAAAATCTGTATAAATGGTATCAGTTTGATTTCGCTGAACAAATCCCTTTATTACAATTGAAGTAAACTCTATAAGATTTGTTATAGTTGAAAGACCACTAAGAACGCCATATTGATATGGACTTAAAATGGATTGAATTATTTGATGTTTCAAACAATTTTGGGATATTACTTAATTTTGCAATTCCTCTGTAGTTTGAGACGTTTGATAGACTACCAGACTTGTGTAACGGTACTTCCACATAGTAAGAAAATAACCAAAATTTAAGGAATGATTAAACAGCAACGTAAGAGGCGTTGCCAAAGTGTCAGAACAATAAATTGGTTTTAGAGTACGTAAATGTTTAGCAACATCTAGACTTTGTAAAAAAGGCATATATATTTGATCTATTTTGGATAGCTCATAAGGATATGAACTTATATTTGGACAAACTGCATATGAATAAGTAGAGGCGAAAAAAATTGTGGGGTGTGAGGAGACTTTCCTTTTTAAGTTAACAAACACATAAAATGACTTCGGATTAGTTTTAAAATTATTTTTGATCTTGTTGAGGTAATTATTATACAATCTACGGGACTCTATGGTATATTTGGACCTAGTAACAGAATAATTAGCGTAGTCTATAGATGAGCCTGACTTTTTAACAGTTGGAACACATTCTGAAATAAATTTATTTAGAATATTATAAAATTTATCTATTACAAACTCAAAATCGCAGTGATTCTTACATTGACATGCAGTTGTCCAATTTACAGACGAAATAAGAGAATTAAGCTTTCGAAAATTTGCTTTTTTATAGTTATGAATATTTTTAAATGAGTTACATGAACTTTCGTTAATTGTGGAATTATTGCTCATGGTTATATATAATGTTGGATGGTGATTATCTTCCGGAGTACATATAGCAGGAATTCGAATTAACTCAAAAAGTTGTGTAAAATTTACTAATACTAGATCAAGGATACTATCATTACAATTTAAAATATTATTTATTGGATGGAGATTAATTTTACAAAATCGATACAAAATATCAAATGTATATTGGTTTACATTTGCTTCAGATGTCAACGGCGTTAAACTTTCTGAGTCTGGTAATTTACAGATGGCATATTAAAATCACCAAGAACTAAAATTCTATTCTATAATATTAATAATTGAGTTTAGTGCTGCTACATGCTAATTATAAATATCGACAAATTTCTAACAAATTGGAAAAATTCTCAAAACGCTTTGATAACGATGCAAATTCCGTTTTCATCGAACCAAGTTCCGACTGCAATTATCCCTAATTGTGTCTAACAATGGACCCACACTTATAAAATCATCGAAGTCATATATTTTTACAACTTACCTATTTTCCTGTATAGATCTGTTGTTATAATTATTTGTAACGTTTTGTGGTGGATCTCTAAATATGGTGTTATGTTCCATTGGCGGTTGTTGAACATTGGACTGGACTACATTGCTGTTCGGAATAGAATGCTGAATGCCACTTCTTTCTGTAATGTCCATGTTTACATTTGGTAAATTGGATCGGTCTCGCAGACAATCGCTGTTGTTTAGTGTCGCCGGCAATGACTTTTCCTGATGCCTTAACGGATAAGCATTGTAGGTGGCATTGATGTTATTGCATTCTTGAACAACTTCGGGAACAATAACATTATTGAGTCGAGGCGTTTCCGCACTTTTCAAGATATTACAACATTCGAAGAACAAACGTTCATCAGGATTTAGATTTAATCGCGAATTTCCATTGAACGGTGGATTAACCATGTTAGCATTGTTGCCGTCATAGTCATTGTCAGGTCCATCCCTCAGTGAAGAGGGTGGGTTAATTGCTTTTGAAGCATCGATATTATAGTCCGGCGGCTGATGATGTTGTTGTTGGGGCATCTGGGCTGGTGCTGGTGGCTCGTCGTGTTTTGCACTCTCCATTTCATGATTGGCAGCGTGTTGTTTAAAAGATATTTGATCTGCCTGAGGTAATTGAGGTGGCTGTGTTATCGGTGCTGTTTGAATCGGGGCCGTTGTCAACGGAAGTGTAGGCCGAAGATCGTCCATGGAATTCGAGTGCATATGCATTGGAGGTTCTGATATAGTTGCTCGCCTTGTTGATCTTCTAGCATAAGGCCCTAATGTACCGTGTTTCTGATTCTGGTCTATGTTTAATGACGAATTCGTTATAGACTTTGAAAGCAAGTACTCCTGTTCCGACACTTTGGAAACATGGGCTAGTGTCATATTATGCTTGGTTAAGGAATTAGCACTGTAGAATACTTTCTTACATAAAATACATTCGATCTTTTCCGCAGACATATCTCTACTTGACGCCCTCTTTTTGGGTTTGCGTGTCAGCAATATACTTCTTCTTCGGCGTCTTCGACGACCCCGGCCACGACCCAAGTCTTGGGAATAACTGGTATATACACTCATTTCATCGTCCAAGTCCATGTCCATTACTTCGGTGTTTGTGTTCTCATCACAGATGGAACCGAAATTGGAACGATCGTCGTTGAAATTGGGGGCACTTCGCACGCTCATTGACGTTGGCGGTCGGGAGTACTTGCTATTTGAATCGTCCATGCCCATGTCCATATCATTGGCCATTTCGAAGCCATCATCTTTAAATGCAAATTCTTCATTTTCCGTCGACATAATTTTCTCATTGACGTTCTTTGCAATCTCTGTTAAATAATTATCCTCATCAACGTCTCCAATAACTTCCGGACTCTTTTGAGCCGGAGCAAGCGGTCTGGTGCCATTACCATCTCCAAGTGTCGAACTTTTTTCCCCTTCCTTGTGAATATTTTTATTGAGACGAGGATCTCGGCTAGAAACGACTGTCTTATTTGTATCGGCTGTCGGAGCTGACGTCTTAACGGGGAGTTGCTGGTTCTCTTGATGCGTTGTACTTGCCTCCAATGTCATAGAAAGAATGCTTGGCCTGAGTATAACGGTACTTTTAGAATTAAGAGCCGTTTGAGACTTAGCATTTAGCTGAGACTTCCCGACGTCACTACCCGAAATGACATTTTTAAATACATTCACGTTCTTTGCCTCGTATTCGGTTAGTTGGCGTTCAATGTCAATAGAAAAGGATTCTAGGGATGATTTGAGCTTGCTAATATTTTCATTGTCCAAAGTTTTTCCTCGACGTCGACACTGGCGGCGTTTACTATTTTTCTTATTATCTCCAGTGTCAGTGCTTTCGGTCAACGTAATTTTTGAATCATTATTGGTGGTGGGATATTGCTCCCCTACATTGTCAATGCCGTGGATGGTGTCATTCATTTTAGAGGTGTCGGCATTTTGCTGCTGTTTGTTATTTCGTTTGGAAATACTCTCATTATTGTCTGCGGCTGACGACGGTCCCGACGTTGGTGTCATTGAATTGTTAATTGTCGGTGCTGAAGATGTCACATTTCTCTTTGTGCTGGACATTAAGAGCATTCCCGTCAAAAGAAGATCCTCGCTTTTTTCATATGCCAAATTTTCCAATTTCTTTAGATTGTCTCGTCGCGCTTTATCCAACTTGAAGCTTTCCAAAAGTTGATCTGCCACTATTGCTGCCAATTCATTTTTGCGGCGTCGTCTTTGCTTCTTTTTTGGGTCGGCAACTGGTATGGACGTGGATACCGTGGTTGTAGTGGACATCACTGATGTCTGTTGATCCGACTGCGCTGAACTGTGAAAACCGGACGATGTATTGTTGTTATTGCTCATTTGTTCCAGGTCTAAATTAGTGCTGGTAATTGACGGCGTCGTCGTCGTAGCTGTCGTGGCCACCGCCGAAGTCACTGTTGTTGTAGGCAGAACACTTCTGTGCGCACTGATGTCTGAGAGAGCAGCTAAGCCACCAGATTTGGTTTCGCCTGTTTTAATCCTCTCTGCAGAATCCTCCGGCTGAGAAATTACTGGCGGTGCTTTAGCACTAATCTCTTCGAAATGTAAACTTGTTTCTGGGATCGCTTTTGGAACTTCTGTCACAACTTGGGCTGGGCGCTCCTCTGTAGAATGAGCCACGAATTGAGACTCAAGAACTTTCGGAATATTATTAACATGCATCGTTGTATCGTTCTTTTCTGTTTCCGTGCATAATACGACGTCTGTTGTGGTCATGCTGTTAGTACTACTGCATGGAACTAATGTACTACTGGCATAGGTAGTAATATTATTGACGTCAGCTACAGGAACCATTAGTGTTTCAATATTCCTTACGCTTATGGTTTGCTGGTGCGAAGTCTTGGCCTTGGCATCGACCGTCTGTTGAGTATTGTTGGTCGTCAAAGGCGGAGTGTTCTGTACATGTACTCTATTTAAAGCAGCAGGTCGGCAGTCTAATGTCTTCGATCGCATATTGCGTCTTGCGGCAGTTAAATACTTAAATTCTCCAACTGATTCCTTAGTTACATTTACATCATCCGTTGTCTTTAGGGAGGGGGGAGCTGGTTGGGGCTGAGTTGATATAAAAACCGCTTTGGATCTTTCGGCTTCTTCGTTGTCCAAACTGGCCTTAACAGCATTTATGACGGAATTGATAGCATCATCAATGTGGTTTATAACTTCCTCATCCATGCGAAGCGGCCCTTTGTTCTTCGAAGAAGTGTCCTTTTTCGTTGTGATAATAATGGAATCTTTCGAGCTAACTGTCGGCTTAGCAACAATATTATTGATAGTTTGATTGCATTCAACATGTACATTGTTCTGTATCGCTACCGAAGACTTATTGCGCTTTTTTGAAGCAACTTTAGGGACAGCAACAGGAATGGGAACAGGATTTACAACCAATGAAGGTTGTGGTGTTAGGATTGTTGTTGGCGGCTGCATTGGAGCTTGTTGTTGTTGCGTCAGTGGCAATGGCAATGGCGGCGTCTCCGAAACGCCAGCTCCTTGGCCAGCCACCGGGTTTCGGACTTGGGGTATTCTCAATAGATCCAAATTTGAGTAGAAATGTTTGTTAAGCAGCGCATCAGGTGTAATCGGAGGTACGGGCAAGAGTGATGGATCAACTGAAGTTGGCATTGTGGACGAAGGAGGTAAGGGTACAGATGGATGTTGAGTTGGCAATAATATCGGTGTTATTTCCGTTGGCTTCGAAGGCAATACATTCGGTAGTTGTGGATGCGATAGCGTTTGAACTTGAACTATAGGTGAAGGTGATGCCTTTTCTGGTCTTGCTTTGTTAGATAGATCCAATGGTTCCATTTCGTCATACATTATAAAATTTCGTGCTTCAAAGCCACAAATTGTTTGCCGTCTTGCTGGCATACCACCGATTTTTTGACGACTTGAAAATGACAAATCTTGACTTTGCTTTTGGGTATTTTTTGCAGAACTCGACAAGTTTAATGGCTCTGTTGCAACTGGAATAGAAAAAGTTGGGATAGGTAGTGCCATAGAATTAGAACCTGGTAAATGGGCTGGTGGCACCGATGTAATCAGTGGTATAGCTGCGGGAGGTGGTATGATTCCAATTGCTGTTGGAGGAGGAACCGCATGTATTACAGTCGGCGGCTGCACAGGTTTCTCCACAGGTGGTGGTATCGGTGCGGGCTGAAGAGTGGGAGCAGGTGCCGGTACTGGTAAAGGCAACGGTAACGGTAACGAAGGTAGTGCGGCTGGTAGGTGTGGAGCACACAAGTTTTCGACGGGTATGAACATAGGGACTTGGGGCATGAGATGTTGATTATTCAAGGGCATGACGGCGGGAAGTGGTGGACCTATTAATGCAGCTGTGGGAATTGATTTGGCTTGTTTATTATCCATCGTATTAAACATACAAACATCAGGTGTTGGGGCAGTTTTTGCCACAATTCGTGTGGGTTTTTGTTGTTCGTTAATATTTAATTTGACAGAAGCCGCTGTGACTGCTGCGGGTTTATCTTTAACTACCGAAGACACATTGATCGTTTTATCCGTAGACTTTGGAAGGTTGCAAGAACCCTCAATGTTCTGTTCTGTTGATTTAGTCGGACTCGTTCCATCGTCTGCCTTAATTATACGCCTGGATATGGTTTTTCTTTTTGGTGTCTTTTTTGTTGTATTATTTTTATCTGTATCCAATTCGTCAGCTGATTGTGAAACACTCTTAAGCAATTCTTCATTCTGCTGTGACACTTGTGGCGCTGGCATGGTTGGAATGACGGCAACATTCTCTATTGGTGGTTGTTCAGTAACAGTGTTTATTGTCGATCTACTATTTACAGGTGGGACTGAGGCTTTTTGTTCGGTTTTTAGCTTTTGCTCCAATTTTCCGGTTAACATTGCTATGCAGTCGCTTATCCGTTTACTTCGTTTAACATTTTTATTGTTTGCCACCTGGCGTTCCGTTTCAGTAACTGTATTTATTTGGATCGGGTTAACAACATCAGCCTGTTTATTAACATTCCCCAACCGATCATTGGGAATAGAATCTTTTTTACCCTCAACAATGAGATTCTCTAATAGCGAAGAAGCCGATGCTGCAGCAGCATCCACTTGATCAACATCATTCGGTTTGTAGGTATTCGTGTTAGATAGTTCGTTCTGGTTTGTCCCATCTGGTTCAAACACGACCCTCCTGGTGCAAGTAATAGCATTCTTGCTATTCTCAGTATTCGTAACATGTTTCTCGACTACCGTTACTGTTGTCATGGAGGAATCGATTTGGTCTTCTAATTTGATTTTATTGCTAATAGTTAAACCGCTTTGATCTACATCATCACTAATCGACGACTTCTCCTCTGCAGGTTTAGATTTTGTGACCGACGACTTATCTGCAACTGGTTTGGTTACGGCTCTCTTCTTATTGGCGTTTACTTTAGCGTTCTTGTTGGTGGTCATTGTTAAGGGTGGTGTAGTGGCAGATCGTGTTGTCATTCTTTTAGACTTTTGAAGTTGTGTTTTTGTCTTTGACAATATCTTCGCCGCTTGGGTCATTTGGCGAACACGAGTATTTCGAAGTTTATTGTATATTTTATGTTTGGCCAAAATTTTAGGCTTTATATTCTTCATGGTCTTTTTGGTTTTGTTAATTGTGGGAAAGATTTTCTTACAGACCCTTTTGGGCGGTAAATTCTCCAACATCTTTTTTATGGATTCAGCTGTAAAAGAAAACGGGGATTATTGGAAATAAGTGTATTTGCTAGTTTATATATTGTGTTATACTTACCATCACTCGGTCGGGGTCTGGGCGATGTTTTAGATTTGGTCGTGAAATTACTGGACGTATTGGGGGCAGCATCTTCTGTGCCTTCGTTTGTGGTTGTAGGAGGTGATTTCACCGCAGCAGGTTTTGCTGCAGATTTAGCTTTTCGCAATTCCAGAATACTATGTTTATTGCAGGGCCTACGCTTCTTCGAGCCGCAATAGTAACGATATTTGCGTTTTTTCGCCAACGACCATACATAATCTCCAGAACAGTCCAACATATGGCGATATAAATCGAGGATACCATTGCATTTACGGCCACATTTCGAACAACCGTTCCCCCCATATATACTTCCACCACTGCCATGTACTGCCGCTAGACCGGATAATGTAGGCGTTCGGCTCTGAGTCTTTGATTTAATGACGCTTGATGAGGAAGAACTGCAGGATTGTATACTGTGTGTTGGTGAGACGACAGCAGTGGTAGCCATTAGACCCAATGACGCGACGGTGGCCATTTTTGTGTCCACGACATCACAGTCTTCGGTACTACTGCTGTTCTTAATACTTAGGGAATTCGTCGTACAACTGTTTAGCATCGATTGCAAACTGTCTGATGACTCCTCATTGTTCGTAATTTCTCGACATATGGTTTCGTTCTTATGCCAAAATAGCCTTCTCGCAGCCCCGCTGTATATCTGGTTACTACCCATGTCGTTTGCATATCGGCTGAGAGCCTTCTTTGGCAAGAATAAATGTCGCAATAGGTTGCCGTTTAATAGTTCCCGACCAACAACCTCATAGTGTGTAGATAGTATTTGCGAATGGCGGAACATTTTGTGTTCCTCCAAGGATTTTAGCTTTTCGAATTTGGCTCCACAGCACATGCAGAGATAACATCTGGGCCTTGCCCATTCTCCACTCAGTACAAGTCTTGACCGACATTTACGAGAGTCAGAATTTGGCAGCAAATTCAACATTGAAAGAAAACTTTCATCGGCAAATGTCTGCTCCATGAAATTGTCGCCACAATCTTCATTCAATAGCTGACTGGGAGCAATGCCAAATTCATCGTTCTCCAACTTGATTATAGCCTGTTCATTTTGTTCGAGAATGATATGCGGAAGGAGACGCATATCCAGAATCATGTTGAGTTGATCATTAAGTCGTTGTTTTTCCTCACGTGATGGGTCACTGGGTATTTCTGAGACGTTCCAAGTATCAGCAGCATTATGTGATTGGGTGGCATTTTGTGTCGTTTGCTGTTCGTGTTTCTGTCGCATAGTAAGTTGTGTCCACATGTCCAGTTTAGATAAATCTCGCAGTCCCAACATTGGGTGCTTCATTTTCTTGACAATCTTGCCTCCTTCATTTACGAATTTAAATTTCTTAACGCTATCCCATTTCCATTTCCAGGAATTTTTGGTATGTGGTCGTCGAATTTTCGAGGAATGGCCGTCCCCACCAAATTGTTCGGCTGTGAGGAGCGTTGGAAATGCGGTAATTGCAGCTAGACTTGTGGCCGCGTGAATCTCACTATCAGTCGTAATAACTATAGGACTTTTGACTAGGGTGCTCCGTATTTGCGGCTGTATAGTATGTCGCATAACAGCCGAGTCCGGAGATTCCATAGAATTACCCATGATTTTGCCGTCTAAATGGAAGAGTAAATTATTGCGGACATTCGATACGACTTCCTTGTAGAAGTTATCGTCAAACACACAGGAAAGTATATCATTGCGAGTGGGCACACGGAATATCACATCCGACGTTGTGTCACCGGAGAACCCACTGACTGCTTTTATGGCTTTGCCGCGTAATTTCGGCGAACAGGTGGCAGAGTTCAATGCTGTGGAGGAGGTAGTAACTGTATTTGTATAATTTGTTGATGGTTGGCTGTTCTGTTCGGACTTAAGTAGCATCTCAGATATCAACTTCTCTCTGCGAAGGCGCACGCCTTTACGATTGTTAGGCAACCGATTTTGTGTTAATCCCAAACGCGATAATATTGGTTCTTCGGCACCAATAATTGAAGAATTCGACACAATAGTTGTAGTACACTGAACAGTACTCTGAACAAAGTTACTGCTATTTACGCTATTACCAGCACCAGCACTGCCAGACTTCTGGGATCGCTGCTGTCGTCTCAGTGATAATTTACTTCTTTCACCAATCATAGACTTGTCAGACAACATTTGAGAATCAGTGTCATTATCCTTGGACTTGCTGCTACTCTCATCGAAAGCAAATGACAAACTTTTATGAACAACTTCCATATGCTTCGAAAGCTTCGATATATTCTGAAACCTCAAAACACACGTCTTACAACCAAAATACCTATCAGAATGGCAATCGGCTAGGTGGAGGAACAATGCATTCAATTCCGACGCGGGCAGTATAACGGACTGTGGCTGGCCTTTATTTTTCGGACAGTATGAGCAACCGGTAAAGTTCTGAGATCCCGTTGTATTTTTGCGTTTTTTTGGCGTCTGTGTTTGCTGCATTTGTGAGTTGCGTCCACTGCATCTACGATCCTGTTGCAAGCAATGAAACTTTTCCACGTGTTTCACCTGCATTTTCTGTGATGAGAATTTCTTGTCACAATACAAACATAGATTCTTTACCGAAGATGTAGACTGTTTGGATATGTTGTTGTCATCTTCTTCATCATCATCATTATCCAAGGACTCATCGACTTCGTCCACATCTTTACTGTTTATGTGGTGCTTTGAATGATTGGTAAGATTAAGTTTTTGCAAAACATCGTGTATTCGCTCCAATGGTAGACTGCATATTAAACTGGCTTGAAGCGAGGACGATGTCGATATATATTGCCTGAAGGACAAATCGCTATTGTCTGTTGCAGATGGAGGACTTTCTTCATTGTCGTCATCGTCAGCATCGTCGTCATCACCGTCATTTATAGTTTTGTCTTTTTGTGGTGTATCTGTTGCCTCGGAGGAAACCTTATCCGCATCATCAATTTCGATTTTAATGTCATCAATGATGTTTTCTTCCTTTATATTTGTTACATGTTTGATATCCTTGGCCAATGAATTTCTTTTCATAGATATCGAAACTGGGTTACATGTCTTTCTGCGATTAGGTTTTTCATCAAGTAATCTTAAGTTTTCTGAAGCACTTCGAAGACTGAATCGTGACATTTTTTTCTAAGTTTGATGTCTGGTCTGTAACCAAATTAAAACCTGAAAATATGCAAGATCGGTATAATTAGTTATTTTAATATCTGGATTAAATATATAAACAAAATCTATAACATCAAAGAAAATATTTTTATCTAGCTTTTAATTCTTAAATATGTTATTAAAATTTAGAAATGTTGTATTATATATGTATCTAATTTCCATTATTTTTTATTAGTGGCGACAAAGAGTGGAACTTATCATGTAATGTAATAATGCGTGGATCCCCAACGCCGTCCGAATATTTTTACCAGGTTGGTCTTTGAAAGTATACACATCCCGAGCTATTTATTAGTTCATTTACACTGAAAGAAAAAACCATGCGGCGTGTGTAATTTTACTCATTGGGTGTTGCCGCCAATTGATTAATTTTGCCTGCATACATTGATGTTTATATGGGCATTTCCGCGAAAGGGTAAACCAAAGTCGAAGAACTTGTTTCTGTAATTGTGCTTAAATACGTGAATTAACGTGAAAAACTACAAAGAAAGACCACATTTCTCATTTTTTCTTCTTGTTTTTAGCATAAATACTAAATTAAAGACCATAAATGCAGATACTGCAGAAATAAAAACACCAAAATCAAAAATTACGCGTGAGTGACAGAGAAAAATCCTTCGCAAATAAAGGATATTCCAAATTTTGAAATTCATGTAAAGAATGTGTTATTCATGTCCATATGTCTTAAGTGAAATGTAAGGCCCGGTCGCGGAATGTCTTCGAATTTTTGTTTTCATAAAAAGCTCTAGGAGTCCTAATTACGACAACATACTTTCTACTTATGGCAATCCATTTCTTAGATAAGGGCCTCAAAAGATCTGCTGGGTACCATGTATTTTCCCATGTTATTTAAAAACTTAAAAGGGCAATATGGGTATCGATTTGAAGGATTGAAATGCTGATTTTAAAAATTGTATTCTTTGTCGACAACTCAAAAAGATAGCAAAAGTGGTTTACGCAGATAAAGAACAAGATTGCCATATACAAAAATGTGGTTACGGGTGGGAAAAATTTTAAACCGAGATTTTAAGAGCGCTGTTCAAAGGTGCCCCCTCTCCCCTATATATTCTTCAAAATAGCAGTATGTGGTGATAATACTGAAATAAATGACGTTTACTACATTTATTACATTTTATACAGGTATATGACGTTTTCGAACTTTACACCTTTTTGACAGTCGAGAACCTAAAAATTCGTCACACGGTCCATCCCTGCACATAGCCAATTTTTGAAACTGTCCATACAACAAAGTCTAGATGTTGAAGTCCAGTGGAATTTTGGAAGTCCATGTCCAAGGAATATATATGCCTCCAACGAAATTATTATATGTTTGCAATCAAGACTTCATTCGCTTCAAATTAATACTCATATTGTCGTGGCGAATGACATGGGATAAAACAAGGATCTCAACGACATTTAAGAAGTTCTACGACCGGGCCCTAAACTTCACATGTTCGTTTTAACACAGCCAAGTAACTAAAGAGATCAAAATATATTGTAAAAAAGATGCAAGTCTCACACACGCATTTACGCCAACTCCGACTAACACTGCGATCCAACTCGAAAATTGATTACTCACACACAAACACAAGATTTGGTATAAAAATGTGTGATTGTGTAACAACGGCAACCACGAATGAAAACAAAACAAAATCGACGAGTTACAAACCATAAAAAAAATCTAAAACGAAAAGTACCAAATAACAAAAACAAATGTTGAAAACAACAACAACAGCAACCACTTATTCTCGCTATGGTTTAGTTTTGATAGGTACCAAAGTAAAGTAACTTACACAGGGAATAAAACGCAAGCAGCATGTGGCAGCGACAACAGGACGCACAGAGAACCAAGACAGGCAGTTACTGTTATAGCTGAAGCGTTGGTGAAATGCATCAATAACTAATACGAAAACCACGATTTGTATTCAAACAGCACTTTTTGTTTGTGTCGTTGTTGTTATTATTATTATTTTCCACTATTACTACTGTCTCAAATTCGAATTGGAAACAAAACAAAGTAATTGCACCACCACAAAATGCTGCAACAACAATGGTCATAACAACAATTTCCTTTCCTTTACCGTGTATTACTAAATTCTAATTTCACTTGTGTATTATTCCAATCGGTTCCTTGATGGCAGCAGAAGTTCACAAATCATATCCACATATATACATATTTCGTTCACACAAGAAATTTTCTATATCGCACCAACTAAACTTCTTTTTTTTCTTTTTTTTTACTTTCGCCAAATTCTATTCAAGTGTACATTATTATATATATTTTTTCGTTTTTGGCGTGACAACGTACATACTCTCGTAAGGCGCATCCCATTTAATAAAGAAGGGAGCCACAAACGTGTGTGAGTGTGTGCGAGCAAACAACTTCCAAATGTTTAATGAATTAGCTATTAACACTTTTCTAGTCGGCAATCCAAGGGAAGTCGTTTTTGGACATCAAATTAGCTTTTCTTTAAAGGATACACTCAAACTTTTACTGAATATGATAAGGGCGAAGGCGATTTTCCAATTTTGTAGGATCTGCGGGTGACAAGACGCAGGAACAGCTATTGTGAGATTTCATTCGAAAAGTTTATTGCAATTCTGGAGGGCAAAACGCCCAAATTATGGAATCACTTCATTATTCCCATATTCTGATAAATATTTAGCTCTTTTCGGTATTGTTAAATACTTAAAAGCACTTCATAATTCACAGTAAAATAGATTTTTCTTTTTCCATCTCTTTGAGAGAAAATATTTATGTACTCGATTGAACTTCGTAATTTATCCAATGTGGCCATATCGTCCACAATATACTTCAGCATACCGAATTGAAAAACGATCCACCTGCTAACGAATGGGAAGAGAAGACAAAATGGCCGATAAAGATGAACTCAAAGTGGTATAACCGAAAGTCTACGAATGAGGTGGGAGAGAGACCGTGTTGTTTACACACATACACTCACAGCAGCTGCCAGAGACTACCCGAAGAGATGCCACATTTAATAAAACAACTAAAGTAACCGTTTCGGTATACCGGTTAACCATAAAAAATGCGTAAAAATTCCAATTACACGATTGTGTCAGTTGGAAAATACCCATCAGATCGATTAAACTTCGTTATTGTCGACTACCCGAAGAGATGCCACATTTAATAAAACAACTAAAATAACCGTTCCGGTGTACCGGTTAACCATTGACAAATGCGTAAAAATTGGAAAATACCCATCAGATGAGAATTCTTATTCGAATGTATGGTCGCAAACAAAAAATAAATCGAATCAGATTATATTGAGATAAAAAGGGTGTTTAGACTACACCTTTTATAGCGATAAAGTGCATTATAGTACGTTTATATTATACCGGATTTCGTTAACCCTGTGGGTTTAAATTGTCAATTCCATTGTATATATGTCAAATAAATCCTGATAATGTAGGTTAATAGTACGTTTACATTGTAACGGATTTCATTAGCCCAGTGGGTTTTAATTGTCAATTCCATTGTATATAAAGCAGGTAAACCCGGTGAAAAGTTATAATGTAAATGCCGTTTAAACTGGTAAAAAGTTATAATGTTAATACCCCTTTAGCTCGATTTGATAGTTTACAATTTTATTATATTTTACAAAATTATAAATTAAACACAACAGTTGTTTCTTGAATGGATGAAAATAAATTTTCTTAAATGAAAAATGAAAAACTCTCACAATCATGGTACAATTATAAAAGGTAACCGCAAGTCCCAGCTGATTTGATTCCAACGTAATACTAGTGTCAATATGAATTTGACAAATTATGTTTTTAAAAATCACCCAACAGGAAAATTGGGAACGCATACAATTCGAAATTGTTCTTTATTAAATGTCCTCCCGTATTCATTTTACTCAATCTGCCTGTTGGGAAAGTTTGAGGAAGCAAATCGTTCTTCATTGAATAACTCGCAATTCACTGCATTTTCATATGTGTTACACAAATCAGTGGCAATAGCTCAATTATAGGAAAGTTGTGGAAGCGATAGAAATATAAATTTGAAAGATTTTCATTCATGTTTTTCAAATTATATTTTGAGGATTCGAAAATATTTTATTTTCAAAATAAATATAATTTATTTGTTTGTTTACATTTTGCTGTCAAATGACGTTGACACTAGTATAACTTACAAAAACAAATTTCCATGTGGTTGTTGTATCGTTTGTTGTACAACAACACTTGCTGTTACCTTCTATTATTATACCATGTCTCACAATATAGGCAATTGGTCTGTTCCCGTACTGCAAGAATCTACTCGATTTTACTATTTTCTTCGATATCATAAAGGGAAATTTGTTATCGTAGTAAAAAGTAGCCGATTCTTGCTGTACGGGAACAGACCAAATTTCATTAAACTTCCTAGTACATATATATTTCTTAGAACTTTGAAAAAATATTGTATGAAATGAAATTAATTGCTAAATCAATTTACTTCGATTTACGATGCAAATTTAATACACTAACATCTCGACTTGCACGAAATCCTACGCTAAATTCAAATACGACCCTGCGTTTGCTACAAATAATACTAGGTTCGTTCGTTTACTTAATAATAGGTTCGTTCCCGTACTTTTTGATAGTAAAGCTAGTAAAAGAGCGAACTATCAAAAATTACTCTCACATACAAGATTGACATGAAGAAACGTCAAAATCAAAAATTTCATCAATTAAGGACAAAAAAAAACTACAGAAACCTAATGCACACAAAGAAACAAAAAGTTAAACGGCGTCCATTGTGTGATTTTGATAATATTAATATTTATTGTTTATTTTTTATTTGTATAATTTAGATGAAAACATTATCGAATATTTGGAAGTGGAGTTTCCGACGACTCCAAGTCCGGAAAGCCTTACATGGCTGGACGCTCCCATAATGTTAATGTTTAGGCGCTCCACTCGGATCATTTTGAAATGATTACCGTAAGTAGCCCTCC